CTGAGATTTGACGGTGAGACGGGAGAGCCATCGCGGACGGGCTCTCTCCAGAGGCCTGATCCGAGAGGTGTGGTCTTCAAAGCCGGCCAGCCAGACGGGGTACAAAGCCTGCTCTGCCACCTGGTAGCCAGAAGCTGCACCCCCTTTCCTGGCCTGAGAAGTGGATCATACATCGAGGCGGGATACCTGCTTCGTAGGGTTGGTGTTAGTATTAGCGACTCCGTGAACAAAAGGGCTGCCTGCGTGTAAACTCAGCTCAGGGCAGCTTCGGTTCGTGGTGCCCCCACCTCTATCAGAGGACGAAAGGAAGGAGCAGTTCGCCGAGGGATCGGTATGGCCAGTCTACACGGGGGTGGGGGGCCTGCAAACTCGGTGTCCACCAGGACCAGACAAATAGCAAAAAAGGGAGAAGCCAGGCCGAGGAGGGACGGATAGATGGAGGAGGACGCATGGATTCTGTCCGAACGGGGCCCAGCCTCCCAGCGCCAGTCCCTGGTGCCAGGCAGGGGTGCTGACCTCGGTCGCCCGGCTTCTGACTTTTTAGGAGAAGCGGGGAATCCAGGTTTGTATATGAAATCCCCTGACTTTTTCAGATGTGGCAACTCATTCAAACTTTCTAAGTGCCACATGGGGAAACATGGCCGGGGGTCGACTTGGCCGTGGCCCCCGCTCTCGACCACAAGTCCGCACGGGCTCTGCTCCCCAATCATTGCTTAGGGCCCCACTTTCTTTCAGCCATGGCAGCTCGTGAACTGAAATGTACCTTTCTGATGTAGTGACAATCTGCGACAGATCGGGGTAGACTGGAAACCAAATCCACTCACTGGAAAGGGACTAATTGAATAAGCCCAAACTGGGGTTTGGATCCCATCTGGTGTGGGGGGGCTAAGGGCGGGTGCTGGTGGAGGCGTGTGCCACCCCTCATACCCGTTATTTTGTCCATCGTAAGATACATAAAGGGCGAGAGGATTTGATGTCGGGGGACAGGAGGCAGAGCTGTGGTCAGAATTGTCTCTTGTGCGGCACTTGGCGTGCTTCGGCTGCGGGCCCAGCTTAGAGTGAGTTTTCCGTGTATTTAGTCCGAGATGGGACTTGATTATTTTTTTTTAACATATCTGTACTTGTGAGTAAATGGCATGCATTTGTTTCTTTGTCTATTTATTTATTGGACCAAATCGCCCAAACAACTCCTTGGGTAGTCGTGTATAATCAGATTTGGTTTTTAACATGCTTTTAAAGTAAAGAAATAAATACAATCGAGGCTTGTAAAAGGTGATCATTAGGAAATGGGCCTCGGCCCCATAACTTTAAAGTAATAGCCCCATTATGGAGACGGGGCGCTCATCTTTTAACTGCTTTTCGCACGTTCGCGGCGAGGTGGAGGGGTTCTGCAGGCAGGCCGGGCATCTCGGTAAAAGCTTTTCCGGCAACCACTTAACCTCCACTTACGAAGAAATAAAGCGGAATTGATGCTGATTTGGGCCTGCTTTGGGGGATATTTTTGCTCTGTAAAAGCCCTTTTGCTTGCAATTTGCTGAGCTGCCCTGTCACACGAGAAAAGGCTGCTGTTGATAAAGATAAAGCTTTATGGCCACGATATTTGCTGCTAACAGCAACCTAATGCAGCATTTTCATTTTTGTGCAATTAATGTTAACGTCTGCTACGAAAATTGTCATTAAATACCATTTTAAAATCCATTCAATTTGCATATGCAAAGCCCGTTTACCATCACAGAAGATCTGGCCAGTACTTCATCACGTCTTTCCTCTGGAATTGTAGCCACTCGGCTTTATAGCAATTTAAGATTTTATATTGAAAGCCAGATGATAATGGATGTCCTTTTGGAGCCCAGCTGACTTGAGCTTTTCCATTGTACATGGAATAACACCGCCCCAGGATCAGAAACTGTGGACATCTGCACTGTCCCTCAGTCCCAGGGAGGCAAGGAGAGGAAGAACGAGCACTGAACGGGGAGTCTGCCCGCGGGGCTCCAGATCTGGCTCTTGTCTGGTCACAACATGCTTGGGAAAGTCTCTTCGCCTCTCTGAACTTCTGCTTTCTGGTTTTATTTATTTTATTATTTTTTAAAGATTTTATTTATTTATTTGAGAGAGAGAGGAAGAGGATGAGGAACAAAGGGAGAGGGACAAGCAGACTCTCCACTGACCATGGAGCCTGATGAGGGGCTCGATCTCGATCACCATCTGAGCTGAAACCGAGAATCAGATGCCCAACAACTGAGCCACCCAGGTGTTCCTATTTATTTTATTTTTTATCTTTTTTTAAAGTAAGCTTTATGGGTAACACGGGGCTTGAACTCATGACCCCAAGACCAAGAGTCACATGCTCTACTGACTGAGCCAGCTGGGCGCCCCTACTTTCTTTTTTTAAATAAGGGCTTTGAACTAGGTGATGGCTAATGTTCAGTGTCTTCTAAAATTTTTCCTTAAAGGTTCATTCATTTATTTCAGGAGAAAGAGAAAGAGAGTGGTGGGGAGGCGAATAAGGGGAGGGTTCCCCAATGGGGGACTCGATCTCAGGACCCTGGGGTCACCACCTGAGCCGAAACCAAGAGTCAGACACAACCGACTGTACCACCAGGTGCCCTATGTTTTTAAACATAAGCACATTTCGGAAAGGTCAGTTCATGTCTCCCTGCCTAAGCTGGGCAAGCAACCACCCAGACCCCTGCACAGGGTTTTAAAGACAAAGGAAATTGACAGAGAGACCAGACATAATCCAGGAATCCTGGAATGCCAGGTTAGTGCTGTGACAGCCCAGTGACAGATGAGGAACTGGAAGCCTCAAGGGGAAACAGCTGGTGACCAGGCCAGGACTAGAACCCCAGGCTCACTCCTAGCCAGAGCTGCTCCCAGACACCGTGCTGTCTTGGAGACACGGGCGACCACCCCGGATGGATTTAGTGACCTGACGCACAGTGGGACTGTCTCTCCCTCTGCACTCTGGGCAGTCTTGGGAATGCCCTGGAGGGACTGACTGGGGGCATTACTTCAAAGGTGGGCAGAGGATGATGAGCAGAAAATTAGTTAATCCAGTCCAGAAATGACTTTCCAGCATGTCTTCAGGGTCACAGTCCAGGTTTTGAAGGCTGAGGAACAGAAATGCCTTTCAGGGGAGAGATGTCCGTGGGAGGTGGGAGAGCTTTCCACAGAGAAGATGCTGGTCTGGACTCTGGGGACAAGTGGGTTTTGCTCCGTAGGGTCGAGAGAAAAGTCAGGGAAAAGCACGAAAGTCTGGTGGCTCATGCTATGGAAAACACTGGCAGTTCCTTAAAAAACTTAATCTAGAATCGCGTATGACCCAGCAATTCCACTCGTGAGCAGATGCCCCAGGAAAACTGAAAACAGGGACTCAAACGGATGTTTACACATGATGTTCACAGCAGCACGATTCACAAGAGCCTGAAGGTGGAAGTAACCCAGTGTCCACAGATGGATACACGGATAAACAAAATGTGGTGTGTACATACAATGGGATATTTTTCTACCTTCAAAAGGGAGGAAATTCGGACACCTGCTTCGGACCTGGGTGAACCTCGGAGCCATTACGGTGAATGAAATCAGCCAGACACAGAAGATCAAATATTGCACGATTCCATTTAGAGCACGCACCTGCCGTCTCAAAATCACAGAGACGGAAAGCAGAGCGCCGGCCACCGAGAGCTGAGGGGAGGGAGGAACAGAGAGATACCGTCTCCCAGGGGCAGAGTTTCAGTCTGGGATGAAGAGAAAGTTCTGGAGACGATGGTCGCGGTGGTTCACGGCAATGGGAATGTACTTAATGCCACCGAACCGGACATGTAAAAGTAGCGCATCTTACCACAATAAAACACGATGAGAAGAAAAATTAAAAATAAAGAAGGAACCACTAAATAAATAAATAAATAAATAAATAAATAAAGCACGGGGGCAGAGCCTGAAGAAATGACATGCCTGGAAAGAGTGGGATGGGAGCGGGGAAGGGGCCTGGTCCACACCCGGTCCACACAGACGGACCACGATACTGGCTCCTCGGTTTCGGGCATCTAGGTGGGGCTTGGGGCAGCTGGAGGCCCCAGGCCATTTTGGTAGCTGCAAGCACTTCTGTTCCTTTGTATGGCGTGAGGCACACATGCCAGTAGTTTTGGTGAGGTTTGCACCGCGGCATCGTTTGGGTGAGGATGCCATGCTGTATCAACCACCTGCTGCTGTGCTCCGTTCTCCTCCTTCTGGGGTCAGAACCTTGATTTCTGCATGTCTTCCACCACCTGACCCTGTCGATTTGCAGAGACTGATTCCAATCCCCCATCCCCTCCCAGAAGGGGCAGGGGATCCGGCCTGGCCCATCAGGGCCTCGGGAACTCCCGGTCTCGGCAGCTGGTTCAGAGGCAGACATGAGACCCAAGACTGGCCAATCAGTGTACTTCGCCATCCCTTCTCGGTGTGGTTAGTTCTGGGGGAGGCAAAGCTCTGAAGTTGGGCCAAGGAGTCTTGATCTCAAGTCTCTGTTGAAGTTCCTGTGCCCTTCCCGCCGAGAATGGAACTGTTCCTGGTCATTTTGCTACATGAAGAAGGAGCGTGTCAGAGAATGAAGCCAGGACCGGGAAGCACAGGATGTTACATTGGTAACATCCCTCGATTACCTAGATCCAGCTATGCCTGAAGCTCTCTACCCCAGAGCTTTTCAATCATATAAGCCAGTAAATTCCACTAAAAAAAAAAAAAATCAAGGCAGTTTGATTTGAGATTTGATGACATGCAACCACATTCTGCTTTTGTAGAATGTCCTGCCTTCCAGAGTTGGGACATGGGTTACGTGTCTGCTGCTGAACCCATCACTGGGACCGAGGTTTGTGAGATACACTGCTTGACCAGGCCTGGAACACTCACCCCTTCCTGGAGTCAATGGTCATGCCCCACATTGTTCCCTAATTCAGACACCTCTGAGCTCCCTCCCGCCCCATGGTGAAGCAGAGAACCTTGAGTGCCAGCCCCCTTACCGTGCCGGGGTCCCAAATGTCATATTTGGTGGGAAAGAGGGCAGCTCCTTCTTGACGTGCCGGTCTTCCTGGTCACTGATACGGATGTCATTGAGCTGGCGGTAGAGGAAATTCTCCCGAGCGGTTACCAGACCGGCTTTTACTGCCCCCCGGTTCATGGCGATGTAGTTCCGGGTCAGCTCATGGGGGCAGGTGGGCTGCTGCTTAAACACATTCCAGTGTCCGATGGCTGGGGGCAGGGAGAGATAGCACCATGGAGCGGCGGTCAGTCTGGGAGGTGAAGCCACCAGGGGCACCTGACTGAGAAGAAGCTGGGGCGTGCATCCCTTCCCGTCAACCCAGAGCCCACTGCGGGACAGCCCTGCTTGGCCTGCTGGGAAGGAGGGGTCAGGATTCCCCGAGATCCCAGAGGGCACCTGAGCAACCTTTGAGTTGCTGGGTTTGCCCGGCCTTTACCTCCTCGGGGCCATCAGAGGGCTGGCGCTGAGCCCGTCTGTGCTTGAAGCTCGCACCGTGCAGAGCACAGTCTGGCCCAGGATCAGTGTTCCACCCCGGCTGGGGCCTGGGCTACTTCCCTGCTACCTCCGACCAGGATGCTGCCTGGACACCCCCGTCTCGGCCAAGCCCCGACTGTGGTTTCCACCAGAATGGTGCTGTGGGACCAGCATGTGAGACCCCGTGACTCTTGGCTCTGTCCCCGGAGCGCGGCCCCCTGCCTGGCTTGAGAGCTCAGGTCCCGTGGGGCTGCAGAGTCTGCTGGTTCACCTGCGGGGACGCCTCCATCCAGTCCCCGGGTGTAGAGTCCATAATTAAAATCAACTCCCGGCAAACTGCAGCTTCTCTCTCGGGGCTTCCCGAGCTCAGCCTGTTGGGGAAAGACAGAGAGTGGAAGTGAGCCACAGGACCCCAGACCGACCACATAGGACAAAGTCAGCAACAGGAGTCACTGGACGCTCGCGGGGCCCCAGGCCCTGTGTGCGACCTGGAGGGCCATGAGGGTGCGGTGAGAGAGCCCTCCCTGAGCAGGGCCCAGAGACACGCGCTGGAGAAGCCTGCCGGGTGCTCGTGCCGAGGGACAAGCGAGCAGATCAAGTCAGGAGGGCCCTGAGGTCTTGACAGAGGAGACGTGTTGGTGTGGTGGAGCGGGTGGGACAAGTCCCCGCCCTGAGCAGCTGCACTGGGGGATCCAGCCCAGATCTGCCTGGCTGGAACCGGTTGTCACTTAGCCACGGGATGTGCCTGGGTCAGAGATCTGCGCTCGGAGGCCCCGCTGGGGACAGAGCGGCACCTTCCCTACCTGACTCTTCATTCCTACCCAAGATGGCTTGTATCCCGGTCCCTGCAGCTCATGGGGACGTCGATGCCTTCTTGACCGGCAGGTGGGGCTACGGTGACAAGGCCCACTATCACCTTCCCAGTGGCTTCCCAGTGGCTGGACAGCTTTCCTCACTCTCTGGGTCTCTGGCAAACTCCTCCTTGTCCTCCAGAAGGGGGTTGTAGGAACAAAACTGCCCTATCACTGACCACACGACTCCCCTATTTTATAGACAGGGAAGCAGACACCTAGAGAGACGGTCGTGATCCCCGCTCCCAAGGGACAGGATGGGTTTCACGCGCCGGTGTGTTTGGGCCCCGGCCAGGGCTCTAAGTCATTAGAGTAGACGACACCGCCTCTCTTCAGAGGAGCGAGCAGCTCCGGAAGCAGAGGTCCTACCCTGTATGGTACGTAGATCATCTCCTTCTCGGCTTTATTGAGCCCTGGCTGGATTCCCACCGAGTCCCAGACACAGCGTTCGGTCCTTCCTATGCTTCTCACTCTGGGTCCTCACAACCGCCCTGTGAGGTGGACCCCATCGCCACCCCGTTTCTCAGATGAGGAAGCTGCGGCACAGACAAGTCAGACAGTTTGCAGAAGGCCACACAGCAGCAAGTGGCCGAGCCGGGATTTGAACCCAAGCCGTCTGTCTCCAGCCCACGTTCAGATCCACCAGTTCAACAAAGACCCACGAGCCAGCCTGCCTGGATTATAAATTCCCACGCAGCCAGAAGCATGACGTGTGTCGCCTTCCCTCTGCTGGTGGCACGTTGCAGGTGCTCAATAAATGCCTGAGACTAAAATCCTCTTTCTCTGGGATGCCCTCCTGGGTTGCCTTCAGTCCAGACAACTTTCCCTGTCATATGGCATCAGGGGTCCCTGAGCCCTACCTACAGGGCACTTTCAAAATCACACAGTAGTACCTCCGCGGCACAGACGGGCTTGGACCATATGACACTTACACTCGGAGAGAGCCGGTCACCGAGGATGACGTATCGCTGGAGGTCACTGACGTGAAATGTCTCGGACAGCACGTCCATAGAGACAGGAAGTCGATTCGTGGTGGCTTCCAGCTGGGAGGGAGATGGGAATGGAATGCTCGGGGTGCGGGGTGATGGCTAAGAGGGATCCTAAAACCCACGATGGTGATGGTTGCCCAAGCCTGGGAATGTGCGAAAAGCCACTGGCTTGGGCACTTTATTTGGGTGAATTGTACGCTGTGTGAACTGTACATCAGTGAAGCCGTTAGAAATGACAAAGCGGCGTAATTAAGTCATTAATTGTATGACGATCAGCTTAATGTCTGTGTCCCCTGGTAAAATGTGCTCTCAGTCTTATCTATTTTAAGGTTAAATTTTTTAAGCTCTTTCAAGATAGGTCTTTTTTTTTTTTAAGTAGTTTTATGTTCACAGCAAAACCGAGAAGAAAGTGTAGAGATTCTGCCCCCTCCCCCCCGATGCTCACCCCTTTATCCTTGTGCCCAGCGTACAATCGACACTGGTAAATAAGGGCGGAAGGAATGAACAAACGAACGAACCAACAAAACGCCTCCTTGGAGACCCCGTCAGTTCTCTTCTACACATTGCTCTGCCTCTTCTTTCCCATCTCAAATCCCAGGCCCGTCCCCCCTTGAGAGGGACAGAGCTCTGGGTTCCGGGTGGATCCACGGAGCCTCTGCTGCGTGGTTCGTGGTTCGCTTTGAATTTCTTCTGCAAGACTCACTCTGCGCAGCAGACAAAGCTCTGGCTTCTCATTTGTTTATGAAAATGATCTGGCCTCTCCGGCGACTGCAGGGGAAGTTAATTAAAATGTGGCTTCTCCAGGAGAGGCTCCCCCGCCCCTGCCCAGGGCAGGGGCAGGTGGGCAGATTTCTAGCTGGCAAAGGAACGACAGACAGACTCAGGCGCTGGCTGTTACGCTGGTGCTCGGGGGGTGGGGCAGGGAAGCAGAGAAGCTGGAGGGTGCCTGTCTCTGCGCTTTTGACCAAGAGCTCCCCGGAAATCAACGACTGCCCACAGGTTTTGAAGCCTTAGGCTGCAAGAACCATCCCAATGGGGGGTTTACCCATTCTTTCACTCCATAAATATTTATTTTGTGCCTACTATGCACCAAGCCCTGTGTTGGGGGTTCTGAGGTGAACAAAGCAGACTCACAGTCTTTGCCCCTAGGAAATGTGTTGTTTTGTAAAATGGACAACTGAAAAGTAACACTAGTCAATTGCACCAAACACGGGTTGCCTCTAGCTCTAAAAATCTGAGTCCATAGAGTGAGAGAAGATATTTACAATACATATATCTTGCAAGACTTATCCATCATATATAAAGAGCTGCTACAAATCAATAAGAAAAAAAGGCAGACAGTCCTATAGAAGGATAAGCAAGAGACTTGAACAGGCACTTCATTAAGAGGATGTCCAAGTGGCCAAGACCCATATATTAAGTTGTGTAACGTCTGAGAAATGCAAAGTAAAAACTCAATGTTCTTGGTGAGAGCGTGGAGCAAGCAGAATACAGATGCACTTGGTGAGAAGTAAAAACAGCCAGCGTGGAAAGCTGTGTAGAAGTATCTATTGAAGCTAAACATATGCCTACCTGGTAATCCAACCCAGTTCCCTCCTGGGCACCCAACAGAAACGAGTGCCCATGTCCAAGAAAGACATGTCTGAGAACACTCACAGAGCCTCCATTCCTAATAGCCAAGTACTGGAAACCATCCAAATGGCCACGATAGGTGGATAAAAAAACTTGTGACATATTCATTCCATAGAACACTCCCCAGCTGCCGTGCTCAATCAGGGACAGTTTTGGCCTCCCAGAGGACACCTGATGATGTCAGAGACATTTTGAGTTGTCACAATTTGGGAAGGAGTTCTACCTTCCATGTGATGGCTGGAAGCCAGGGATACCGCTGACCATCCTACACGCACAATACAGTCCTCACCCTCAACAATGAAGAATTATCTGGCCCCAGATGACAATAGTGCTGAAGCTGGGAAATCCCACACTACAGCAACAATGAAGACGTAGTCACATACAACCACACGGCAGCTTTAGCATGGAGCGCGGGATTCGAGAAGCCAGACACGCAAGGCACGTGCACTCGGGTGCCCTTGGGGCAGGGGTGGCGGCTAAGTGCTCAGAGCTCCTGACCCTGAACTTCCAGATGCAGGCAAGTGAGTCGTGACAGACATCTGAGATCAACTGCTGTAGAAATGCAAGGTAATTACTGATCACCTGCTTCGCCATGGCAACCCCACTCTGATATCCATGACATCCATGAGCTTGGCCACAAATCTCAGCTTTGATGGGCGACTCAGGTCCCCAAGCTACCTGCCCCCACCTCCCAGCTCAGAACAGGATGAGAGACATCCCAGAGGCAACAGCTCTCAGATTGGAATGTGCAAAGGTCCTGGGGCAGATGGCATGGCTGGCTGTTGGGCCATGTGAAGGCTGTAAGCACCTTCCCCACACCGGGATCCCTCGGAACCACCACACTCTCTTTGCTACAGAAGTAAAGAAAGGAACGAGGAAGAGAATTCCCACTTACTGAGCACCTCCTTCCTGCCAGGGGCTCATGTTATGTGCTCTCATTTAGGAAACCTTTTTACTGAGCACTCACTGTCCTGAGAGCTTCTCGTGCTTCTCCCTGAACCCTGCCAATCCCACTTCACAGATGGGAAAACCGAAGGTTCACACCTGCCCAAGGCCACCCAGGTATTAAATGCAGCAGCTGAGGTAACACTCAGCTCTATCAGATGTGCCGGCCCCACAGCCGGCCTCCCAGCAGCTCTTTGAGGGAGGTCACGTCATCATCAGTGGACAGATGGGGGAGTCGAGGCTCAGGAAGAGAAGGGACTGGTGAACCCCTTTCTGCCTGCAGCTATACACCCCCCTGGCATTTCCTGTCTCCGAGGGCAGAATTCTAAGGCAGCTCCTGCAAAATCCCCAAGGTCCTTTAACAGGCACCCTCAGCTTCACACTGCAGGGACACGTGAAACGTGGGACGCTACCGAAATACAGCCCAGGAGCCGGGCTCCCTTGTGGCCGTCGAGGTGCTCGAGTCAAGAGGCGCTCGGAGGCGGGAGCAGGATCCAGGCTCTGCATCAGACCACCCCGCCCTCCTCAGCAGCATTCAAACTGTGCCTTTTTCCAAGTTTGCTCTGTCACAAAGTGGCTTGGCTGGAATACAGCTCTGGGTGACAGCTGTCCCCATCAGCAGACAGCTTCATTAAACCTCATTAAGATGTCATCCCTTGCTGCCTTATTTCCCGTCTCTCAGCTCTAATTAAAACCAGCTCTCTCCCCATCCCAGGGGTCCTAGGATTCTCTGGGCTCCTTCTGCACGACACACAGCTCCCTCCGATGCTTGCATGAAGGACCAGGCCCTGGACACCGGCCCGGATCAGGGGTCAGGATCAGGCTGGGCAGGCGGCACCCTCCCCTCCCAGCCGGAAGAAGCGCCCTCAGTGCACCAGTCACTGGTAGGAGGACCAATGGGGAAAGTCCAGGGGGCGGTCCCTTCAGGCTGTCACCTTGTCTGAAGTCACCTGC